TTTCCCAGCTGTGAACAGCGATTGAAGTGTTCTGGTGGAATTCCACCTCCTTCAACATGCCTGGTAGATCCATCTGGCTACAATATAGCTCCTTGCATTCTATCCGAGTCCTATCTGATGGTGTATTATCTAATGGTAAATGTCATAACTGCGGTGTTACATCTAGAACTGGTTGTTTTTCATTGTGAAAGTCAAAGATTTAGACCGTCAGTGGCCATGAATAACAAAATTAAGATACCAGGTAACTGATAAGAAGATTCTGGTTAGAATCACATGGGATTAGCTTTGATTTGAGAGCCTAAACGACTAGCTACTCATATGTAAGTTGACTTTGATTCAGTAACAAGGCATAAACTAACTTTTTGATCTCTGCTCTTCTCACGTCTATAACACAGGTTGAGAACTTTGAGGGACTGTGGATATTTAAATTGCCTTAAGATCTTTTTGTGGATGTTAAGCAAATACATATCATTATCTCACCAAGATCTTAGGCTAGAAGTATTCAAAAGAATTCTGTGATATGAACCATGTTTCTCATTGCAGAATTCTTCTTTCAGGGTTATGTGGTGCTATATGATTAGGACTCCTCATAACGTCCATGCTATATGTATAAACTAAAAGGAAGCTCAAATATCAGTGTTGATGAAAATTATTACTCTTTCCTAGTTCAGGTTTAGAGCACAGTGACTGCAGTTATGCTGACATTACAGTGTAATCATCCTGAGCTCATACCTTTTTATTATAATAATTTTATTAGAAATTGAGCAAATTTCTGAAAATGAACGTGCTTTTCTAGGTTGAAATCTTAAATCAAAATTGCCAAGTACAGGCTACATGGGAATTCACAAGGTGCATGCATGTACACAGCTTTGATGGCAGAAATCCAGAGAAAACTGGGTTGTTGGTGTTTCTATTATTAGTATTATTTACACTGCAGTAGCACATGCAACACATGATTAGGAGGTTTGGCTGTGGTGAGTGTTGTCCATGCCTGACATAAAGAGATAATTCCTGCCCTTAAGCACTTTTGTTCCATGGTAATGATGATATAGAACAGAAAACCAGTGGGTGGGAGTTGTGTTGGGGGAGGTTGGTTATATAAAGAAGCCTTTGGCACACTGCAGACGATCACCTGGTTAGATGTTAGCTGTTGACAGCAATTTTTAAACCTTATGGCAGAAGGTCTTACTAGGGCAACTGAAAGAAAGTTGGAATAGTTTATTTGAGGATTGGAATCCTCCAGAAGAGACATGCAGTAAACAAGTTTTTCTGCCTAGGTGAGTATGCTTTTCCAATGCAGAGACAAAGCAAAAGCTAAGCTAACGTTTGGTTTTATCAAAGCAAGGACTTGGGAGTGGGTCAGTTGCATGATGAGCAAGTGTGCTAAATGCTGAATTCAAGTGCCTTTGGCTTTGGAAGGACTTCCTGGAAAGTGCATTTTGTCATACAAAAGCAAAAAACCACAACCAACCAATTTCAAAATCCCCGGCGTTTTTGTAAAATGGCATTCTTGCTTTCTGACCAGCCGCACAACATGCCCAGGTCTATAGTCATGCAGATGCAGTAATCGGGATTACAAACTCTGGAAGAAAATCACAGAGCTGTACCAATGGAGCTAAAGCAGGAATAGTTAAGGATGCTTTTACTTTTAGCATCATACACAAGAGGGAAACATAATCGCATATACTACTAATATGGTAGACTCTGTACCACCTACAGTCCTTGAGGCTGGCTCTGGACTGATGCCTTGTTGTGCCAGGTGTGGTACAGCACGGGAGAATAGATGGCCTCTGTGTATGCAGGACTTACAACCTATATTCAAGACACTTGAAAGGCACAGATGCTGAAATGAGGATCATGAGGAAACGACAACACAGGACTGAGCAGTGCAATAATACTCCAAAAGTCACACTGCTTTGGGGGACTATTGTGATATAAATGTGACAATATTAGGAGTCATTGCCATTTTCTGGAGCCCTGTATTCTCAGAACATGTCAGAATGCATTTTGCAGCATTAAAAGAGAGTCTGGCAGGCTTCCAAAGGTCATTCACCTGTCTGTGAAGGCAAGGCTTGGCTTATTCAGCACAGATTTGCTGGAAGATTCGTAGAGGATCTATGAATGGGTTGGACAGATACTTGTTTAGAACACTTCAGGCTGTTGTAATATTCAGCATCTGGGTTCAAATCCCAATTATGTGGCCAAAGTCCTCTATTTTCATCCTCTGGTTTGTGGTCTTACATGAATTCAGTGGGAGCTTGTAGTTCTGACCAAAATGCCATGAAATCATGTGCCACTAAACTCTTTCTCTGAAGCTTTGCAATGTAATAAGATTGAGGACTTCCTAGATCTGTCTATGAACCAATTGAACTTAATCAAAACAGAAAATGTGGAAAACCCAGTTGTCTGAACTAAAGCAGAAATTTGGGGAAAGAGGGTCAAGGCCAAGCAAAACAGTTTCTCTCAAGTTTCCAAGACTATGAAAGTAAACACCAATACTCTTAGGTGATGAAAATATTTGTTTTTTATCAAGTGGAAGAACAGCAAGGCAGCATACCATGTTTCATGCTGTGGGGAATGCCTATAGGCAAATCTGAATAATCAGATTGTGTGCTTGTTTTTTTTAAGCAGCTTGGTTAATTATGGCTTTTGGGGACGTGCTTAGCCTAATTTGTGCTGCTTTGTGTGGCTTTGATCAGCAGTTAACTTTGCAATTTCCTTGTCTTGTATGACATGCCCTTCTCTGAAGTGGTTTGGCTGATGGAAGGACCTATTTGTCAGTATTTTCCCATCTAAAACCATAACTCAAAAGCAACAACTTAGAGTTACATGTGAACAGACCAAAGGGTGAAGGTTTTCCCAGTAATAACTCTCCTTGGTTTGTATGGTCTCCATGTATATGTACTTTAGCTTGAGAAGTGAGGTGGAGCTCCAGCACTGGAGAACTTGGCATGTGGGTAATGAATAAAAATTGATGGCCATCGTTCTTTCTTTCTGGTCCTGGCCAATTCATAGTTTTCACAAGCTATAGTAATTTTGCTTTCCTGTCAAATTTGTTATTTCTTCTTTGTACATTTGTTAATCTGTACCTTGAGAGATACTTTTCAATAATGCCAGTGCCGCAGGTAAACAAAGCTCACCAGGACTTTGTGGCTGCTACACAGAATAGTACTTAAATACGCTAAATCCTTCTCTAGCATAGATACATGGGGAGTGGGAAACATCACTGATGAAGAGGCGTTGGGTGGGTGAGGAGTGCTGGGAGGACAGCGTGATCAGCCCAGTAAGAGTCCAATGGGACTGGGTTATTGGTGCTGACCTGGAGGTGCTGATAGAGTGGGAGCAGGCTAGGGACAATGAGGGCATGGCAACCTCTGTGTCAGCTGTGCTTTATTTTCCTTACTAAACTTTTTCAGATTGGTCTTGTCAGGCTTTTGATTAATGTGGCCGTAGGATGGTTAAATTTGTCTGAGTTAAATTTATTAACGTGCGCCTTGTTAATAGGAAGCATAAGCCATGCACGCTCGCAGGCACTGCACATTCACTGCGTACTGAAGGGAAGAAAAATGGGCTGCTGTTTTCCTTCATTATGCCTTGGTTTTCTGTAGCTTTGATATTCACTTTAGGCTCCCTTCTCCTTCCTCTCTTTCTCTCTCCCGTTTATGTGATAGTGGTGTACTGCGTAATCTTAATTAAATGTTCAGTTCTGAGACTGATATGAAGAAAGAAGTGAGCCAGGAACTCTCGGGCTCCCTGTGCTTTGCATCTCGGTCATGCAACAGCTCAGTTACAAACAGCATAACTTCCATTCACGCTTGGTCAACATCCGTGGGTGCCTGAAGGCTGCAACAGGAAGTCTGAGGCTGGTCAGTGGTTTCTGCTGGGCTCTGCAGCTCCATAGACTTGTATGAATAAAAACTAGGAGGGTGACTCTTGTTTTTTGTTGTTTTATTTTAAACTTGCCCTTCCTGCCATCATATGAAGACTGAGCATCCAGCAAGGAGGGATGTCCTTGCTATTCATTCCAATTGCAGTATCCCCCATAGTCTTGTGATAAAGATAAAGCCATTAGTTTCCTATTCTGGCTGTGTGTGGGAAGCACCAATGATGAGACAAAGGGACTGCTTTTTGTCTCCTCTGTTATCTGTCTTTACCATGTTTCACTTTCCCTCCTCCTTATTCCTTCTCACAAAGAGTTAGACAGTAGGTTTGACCTTCTGTAATACACACACAGAGATTTTCCTCAGAAGTCTGTAGCTCTTCTCAGACTTAAAAAAACCCCAACTATCCCAAAAGAAAAACAAAATCACCACCACCACCCCATAAAAAAAAACTCACAACAAAACAATGACAACAAAAGACAGTTTTCTATAAGCTTGCACCTGCAGTAAGCTGCATGTTCCACCTCCCTTGGATATTGAATCATCACATGTGAGCCTTAGAAGAGGAAAGAAGTTGGGGAGTGGAGAGGAAGGAATGGTTGGGCAGACGTTTACTCTTTGGTGACTTTGTTCTTGACTATGTTAGGTCTAGCCTTAGACATTGCCTGAGGGGAGTTAAAGGGACCTTCAAAGGGAGAGAAATTCCCAATGTCTTT